TGATTCATTGCTTCTTGCGCACATCGACAGACCGGTTGTGAGCGTACTCCTGGACCTGTTGCCAATGTGAAAGGGTCAGGCTAAGCAGAGTGGTAACTGTCTGGCCCATTTTCTCGAGAGCGATGACAAACGACACTAAGACGGACGAACAGATAAGAAACAAAAACAAACAGATTTTCGCTGCGCGGCTTTGACGAAAGTCAAAAGCAAATTCAGATCGGGGACGGGGGCCTTGTGCTCCCGTCCTTGTCCCCTATCAGGATGGAAACTCCCTCGGCCAGTGGGACTTCCCCAAACAGACGGGGCAGATTCCTAGGCATCTACCCCAAACAACCGAGTCCCTAAGGACTCCCAGATACAAACGGGGCAGATTCCTAGGGGCAGATTCCTAGGCATCTACCCCAAACAAACGGTTCCTTCAGAACCCCCAAATACAAACGGGGCAGATTGACATCCACCCCTACAAATGAGTACTCCAAATACAAACGGGGCCCCCAAACAACAGAGTACTCCAAACGCTACCAGGACGTCTCCTGGAGCTTACAAATGCATACAGCTGTATACTACAAACGCAGGCGCGAGAGAATAACAGGCATAGACAGACAGCAGACAACAGAAACAACAGAAATTTAGTCCGGACAATTCTTACCTCCCAGAAGTGGGTCGGTGGTCCCTGGGCGGGGTCTCAATTCCCGGCCAATGCACCAAATGAAAGACCCCGACCGGGGGACTTCCACGGGAGGGAGACCCGAACCCAAGGAACACCAAGACCACGACCTTGGATGCAAACAGCAAGAGGCTTTATTGATAATACACGGGTACCCGGGGGCGTCTCAGTCTCGGGAACTGAGAGCCCCGAGCTGGGGACTCGGGGGTTCTTTTATAGCAAAAAGCGCAATACAGAAGCGAGAAGCCTAGTTACGGGACCCTGATTGGGCAATTTAAATGAGGCGGGGGCTCAGAACGAGGGCAATTAAGGTTTCTCTCAGAACTCAAGTCTCGGCCTTGGCCCTATCTGAGGAACAATAGGTCTCTGTGCTTGCCCAATCTTGCTGGGCTGGCTATAGACACCTGTGTCCCTGGGCAGAGTTCCCTTCTGATAAAAAAATGACTATTCAGCTGTGGGGGAAACGGAATTTTCCATGAGCCTCAGCTTGCCTGTGTGGGCCGGGGTCTTTCAATTCTTCCCTGACTGGAGGGGAATGGGGACTGTTCTAGACCATGTGGAAGACTCCATTACCTCCACTGAACTGTTTGAACTAGAGAAAAAAAATTCTGACTACTATTTTTGTTGGTTGTGTTGCTGACTCCCTGGTAGCATCCAGGTTGTGTATGAAATAAGAGTTGGGGCCAGGCAGTGTTGGCACACCCCTTTAATTCTTTAATTCCAGTACTTGAAAGGCAAGGCAGGTGGATCTCAGTGAGTTTGAGGCCAGCCTGGTCTACAAAGTGAGCTCCAGGACAGCCAGGACTGTTACACAGAGAAATCCTGTCTCCTGATGGGGTGGAGGAAATAGGAGTTGGGGAATTTCTGACACAATGTGTAGTATGTTCACTTAGATTTTCTGGCCTTATAATCCTCAGAGAATTTCAAGTTAAGATGGCCTTCTCCTGGTCATTGCAGTCAATGGCTCAAGAGGGACCTCACTACAAGTATTACTTCTCAGATGGACCAAGAATTTTTTTACACAGAGTTCATCACAATAAACATTTCTCTACTATGTCAAACTACTGGGTATGCACTTCAAACCATAGAACCATCTAGAATACACTGAACAGTCCTCAGAGTTCAGTGTCGGGGAGCTTGATGGGAAGGGTACATGCCTAATCTAAAGAACCTTTTTATTACAGTCCTCAGATTCAAGAAAAATACTTCCCACATGGAGTCTCTGTGTGCAATATCCAAGTTGTCATGTTCAAATGTTTTCTATTTCAGAACAGATTGGAACCGTGAAAGAGGTAGCCAAAGTTAGCCTTACAAGGAGAGATAAAACAACAGAAATTAGAATAAAGACCCAGATTGACATCCCTGGCTGCTGGTTATATAGCAATGTTTACTTTATAAATTCCCATCTCTGTTCTTCACTTACTGTTTTGGCTTTTTGCTCTGGCTGGTCTGGAATTCACCATGTAGATCAGGCTGGCCTCGAACTTGCCCTGGGGCTCTTGCACCCCACCTGTTACTCTTCCTCTCCTCCAAGCGGTTACCACGGCTACCAGAGCAGCAGGGTTTAGTTAAAGCTGTGGTTGGTCCTCGGGGAGGTGAGGAGACAGGCAGGGTAGGTAGACAGACGTTCAGTCTTTGACCACCCTGCTTCTGTCATTATGACATTATGTCACTGTCGTCTAAGCATGCACGGCACACTAGAGTTTCCACTTAGCAAAGTGGAAAGGCTACGAAGATGAGCAACGGCACAGGTACCACTCAGGAACTCACAGTCCAGTTGATGAAGCAGACTTAGACTTAGCAGTGTTACATACTCGCAAGTATGCTGTGACCAACAGAATGCCCAGGTATTGTTCTAGTCACTAGGCGATAGCAAAAGCCCTGGATTCATTCCAGCACTTAAAACAACACTCCCTAGTCTATGGGCTTGAGACAAATGATTATAATGCCAGCTACATTATTTATGGGGTCTGGTGTGAAAGGAAAACATAGGGCCCCTTGTTCGTGGAAAGGGGTCTGGAGAGACAGCTGCGTAAAGTGCTTGCTTTCCAGGTGTGAATGCCCAGTCTCATCCCCAGAGCCTACATTTATAATCCCAGCACTGGGAAGGCAGAGAAAAGCAGACTCTGGGACTTGCTGCCCGGCCATCCTAGCCTACTTGTCCAAGTGTTAGAAGCTGGGGAGCTGGGAGAAGCCTAGCCAACTTCTAGTGTCACTGGGGTCCCAGCACCTCAAACCCCTGTTCCACCAGCATATGGTTACGGGTCATCATTGCCAGGGAACACCAGGTGCACCAGAGTAAATCTGTGGGCACGCTAGCCATCACACAATAACTGGGGAAAGAGATCAGACCCACCTATGAAGGGGACAAGATGGCACTGGGAAGCAGAAGGAACCATCACCTGACCGGAGAATTGGCTGGGGCCTGTTTGGCTAAACAGACTGGGGTGCCAGATTCTAGCCTGCTAGTTAGCTCGGAAGGTTTCCAACTTTGATGAGACGGTGCCTCTCATCTTCTTGTGTCGATGAAACTCTTGTTTTCAAATTAGTCAATTCTTCAGCTTTACCCTCCCATGGCTTACCAGACTCAGAACCCACAATCCCAAAGGTTGGGGAAGGATTTTGCAGTTTGTTTATAAGGATTTGTATTTTAAGTACTCAGGAATGACTCAGGTTCTCTTAAAGCATGGATTTAAAAGGAATGCATGAAGTGATTATAAAGCAGACTGTCTTCCAGAGACAAGGATGCTCTGCGTACCTGCCCCGTTGAGCATTCAGATGGTCTTGTTTCCAGAGACAAGGATGCCCTGTGTACCTGCCCCGTAAGCACTCAGATGGTCTTGTTTCTTTCCATGGGCTCACACAACTTTGGGGACTTTAAGGCAACCCATTTTACGTATTTGCTGGTCTGTTTGCCAAACAGCATAAGTTCTAATTAATTGACATTTTTCTCAAGTATTTGAATGACTCTGTGCTTTGAGGTCAGTCTTTAAAAATGCATAAATTATATGTATAGAAGAACCATCCACCAAACCCCACAAACACCTGGAAAACTTTCATGCTAAGACTGTACATAGATTTCAGTTTTATTCTAAGTTGCTCAAAAGGAAAATGACTAAAACTGCTTGTGTCTTCATAGTTGTTACTTAATCTAATAAATCGTATTTTCACTAAGATAGCAACAACGACGATGGTAATAATAATAGCATAGGGTGACAGAAAGCACTTTCTGTCAGGAAGCCCTGACCTGGGATCCCATGGTTGAAAAGAAAATGCAATAATTGTGACACCAAGGGAATTAAGAGCCTTAGGGATGTGTTGTTAACATCTATGTGATGGACGCTCCATGCCATGTGACTGAAAGGATCACCTCTTCCTTATGCCTGTTGTCATGGTGACAAGCTTATGGCAAGCAGGTTTGTATGATACATACTTACTGTACTCCCCCCCATTATTCTCCTTTGTAGGAGCTTTGGACATTTCTTTTTTTACTCATCTCTACCCCATCTTATGAAATTAATAATTTTTGTCTGTTTGTTTTTCGAGATAGTATTTTTCTGTGTAACAGTCTTAGCTGTCCTGTCCTGGAACTTGCTTTGCAGATCAGGCTGGCCTCGAACTCACAAACATCAGCCTGCCTCTGCCTCCCGAGTGCCATAACTAAAGGTGTGCGCCAACACCGCCAGGCGAAATTAAGATTTTAATGAAACTCTGAGAGACAGATTCGCCAGTAGTTGGTGGAAATAATTTAGAAAGCTCCCATTTACACTCTAAGTTCTTACAATCAGTGGAACCAGAATACTTAGGATTCATTCGCAATACACAACACCTGCACCACTGTCTGTGAGAATTGCTTTTAAGGTTAGGGAGAGCGGCATATGCCTTTCATACGAAACCAGCTTTGTCTGCAAAGCAAGTTTCAGGACAGCCAGGTTTACACAGAGAAACCCTGTTTCGAAAAGCGAGGGAAAAAAAAGAATTTCTTTAATAAGAGTACTCATTTCCTGCAGCCAAATTCCCATTTTTAAGAAAAAAAAAACACTTAAAAGGGAAGACTCAAAGTTGCCTTTTAAAAAGAAAAACAAAAGCCACATTGAACACTTAAGTAGCTAGCAGCTCCGCAACCTCAGAGGCACGGGAAGGGCACGGCGGCCTGCCCTGCCCCAGCCCCCACCCCAAGCCGGGCAGGTCCTTTGGGTCTCAGTCTGGTCCCACACACTGCAGGCTCCTCCTCTCTCCCCGCCCTGCTCATCATCTCAGGCCTGCCTCCCCGGGTCCATCACTTCAGGCTCCGCCCCCTTCCTGCCCATCATTTCCCCAGGTTCCGCCCCTCGCCGGCCTGCCAGTCATCTCAGGCCCCGCCCCGGCCCGGTTCCTGCCTGGGGTTCCGCAGGCCTGCGAGGGCCGCCAGGGGTCGTCGCGCCCTTCCGCGCACTTCCTCCCGCCCTCCCCGCCCCACGCGGCTGTTGGCGCCAGAGTCAAACGGGGAGGCCGCCGCGCGCACCATGGTAAGAGCGAGCCCGCCACGCGCGCACCCCCGGGCTTCGGGGCGGCGGGGTGTGCGTCTGGCCAGGCCCCGCGCCTCGTGCGTGCGTGCCCGGGCCCTGGCGGCGGCTCGCGCCGCTCTGGGTCCGAAGCGGAGCGTTCCAGAACCGAAGCCCGGCTAGTGGAGTCGGTCCGCGGCCCGGGTCCAAGAGCGCCCCGGGCGCACGTGAGGCCGAGTGAACGCTGAAGTTTGCAGTGTCCCTCGGCTCTGCTGGGACTAGAACGCAGGACCCCGTACAGGCCGGGCACGGCGCTGCCCAGCGGGCTTCACCGCACTGAAGCCCCCCCCCCTCCCCGCCTTTAAGTCCAGGGTGATTGGTACCCAGTCCGCCTGCTTCAGTGGGACTTCTGTGTGCGGGCCAAACCCTGGCTTAAAGTCACCATTGCCTTTGCGAACTATTAATGACTTTCTGCCCATTAGATCCTTTGCATACACACTTTCAAAGTTTCCTGCTGTTCCTTCCGCTTCTGGCGACAGTATAAATGTGTCATTAAAATGACCCGAGATTTTAATATCTTAATTTAGTCAAGTAGCCGTTGCAAAGCGTGGACAAGGATCAGGTTATAGGGCGTTTGTTTGAAGAAACTTGCCCAGCTGTAATTATAACTGATAACGGCTTCTTTGTGGTTCAGCTAACAACCGGGCCACCTGGGCATAAAATGGCCCAAGGAGCCCAGGACCAGACTCTAAACAACTGTGTTACCAGTGCTTCCTGTTATCATGTTTCTCTTTGTAGCGTTAAAGTACCCGACTACAAGGAACTATGCTCTATTGATGTGCCGGCCAACCCTCTTTACAGGACCATTGCCTACTGCCAAGGGGCAGCTAATGGCTGTTAACTCTTCACATACATATTTGCTATTATTTTTATATATGATCAAGAAGAAAGTTCTGGTTAAAGTTAAACTTTTGACCTCTTTGTTAGTCCTGCATTAATAACTATTTTGATTTGGCTGGGCTTGTTATGTAAACAATTATAAGCATAGGCTACAGTTTGAAATTAGAGAAAGTCAACTTTGAGAATGACATGACATTTTTTTAGCTTTTCAGAATGTTACTACAAATGACCGACAGGGCTGATATTAGGAGTTCTGTAATTACTTACTGGACAAGATACAGGCTTGTAAGAAATATCTTGAAGTACTTCACTCAAATAGGAAGTACTAGACCAGTCATAGACCTCAGGTGGCTTTGAATCCCCTTACCTTCAACAAGGCATCCCTGTTTTACCATGAGGAGACACTCCTACCCCAGTTTTAAGTACTGAGTCCTTGTTATTTTTCTTGTTGTCTCTAGTGTCAGTAGGATGGCCTTTTTACATTAAGTATTTTAAATGTGACCTTGGTGCTTTCCAAATGTGACTAGTAATAGCTGCTATAAAAGGGAAAGGAATAAATCAGCTTGAAAGTAATATAAACGTATGGTGCAATTCCTCTGCATTCCTGGAATGACTTTTGTATTTGCTGAGGAGTAAGAGCTTTCCTAAACTGTCCCCTAGCATGTGCTATTAGAGTCTCTTTATTGTTTGCCTCTGGGAATTGCAAAGGACTTTCCAGGAACTCTTTATTAACCAAAGTGTTAAGAGTTTTGCCCCCAGATTTGGGTCCTCTTTTTCTCCTGATTTAGTCACATGATAAAGCCCTAATGTAGGGAGCTGAGGGGGCCTTGAATGAGTGAGGTCCTGAGTGGCTGTGTCTGTCGGTGTGCACAGCCTCAAGCCTAGAAGGATGGCAAAGTCTTTCCAGGGAGACCCAGTTCAGAGTGCTGACAGTGTGTGGGGAAAATGTACACGGTAGCTTTATTCCCTTCTGGTGTTTATGGCCTGAAGACTGCTGAATTGCAGAGGCTGCTTTCGGTTACCAAGATTAGCTAAACCTGCCTCCTTGTTCAGATGTACATAATAAGCCTGCCTCCTTGTTTATCTATGTAATAACCACTGTATTACATATAAAGTCATCTGCCTCTCTGCTTAACTCTGTAATGAGCGCCCTGGGCTTCTGGATTGCTACAGTTTATCCAAGGGCCCAGAGCACCCAATCCCAGCTCTCTGAGTATCCTCTGTCTATCTTTTCTTCATTCTCTTGCTGTCCCAGTCAGGCCCAAGTCCCTAGAGCCTTGCAAGGGTATAACATGCTAAAGAGATTTCTGCTTCTTCTACAGAGCCCCTGCCATCCTGGGAAGTCTAGTGAGAAAAGCAAGTCGAAACAACTGAATATTTTTTAAGTGCACATGCCCAGGCATGTTATCAATATTGCAGTTCAGTTCATGCAGGGTAACTTGGGGTCTAGCCTTTTTAAGGTCCTAGGCATGTATGGTAGCTTGATGCCCACTGACATGGGAAGCTTAGCTGGATGTGAACTTCATGATCGGCTCAGATCCTCCTGCAAGAGAGCAGTGGGGAGGGGTTATAAAATGCCCCTGGATTCTAGCTCTGCATAACAGCAGTTCTGCATAACTTCCTGGAGTATGCGTACCTCACTGGAGAGTGCTCTGCTTTCTCTATGCAGGCGAGGTGGTGCGCCCCCACCCTCCGTCCCCCCACCTACCTAATTCACCCTGGGTTGTATGTTTAAGACTGTTGAGCATGGGGTTGGAGAGTTGGCACTTTTACTGGTTGTGGTCCTGATGTCCAGGGCTGGCCTGCCTGTCTGCTGTTTAACTTACCTGGCTTGCTAAACTCAGGGCAAAGGGCAGTAGATATCCCGAGTTTCCTCAGTCTGCTGAGACAAATAAACTTCTCTCTCCAGGGCAGGCAATGCTGTGGTGCAAGTATGTCCTGGGAACACATGCTCAGCCTGTGGGTGCAGCACAGCAGAGGGAGGCCCTCCAGGAGAGCATGCCCCAGCTAGATTTGGGAGACCTTTTGGAGTACTGAGGTGCCAGAGCAGAGAGATGCTTTAGGTAGAGGAGCATTTTATACAAGGCACAGAAATGATAGAATGCTTCTAGTAGAGAATTCTGGAAATAATTTTATTGTTAGTATTACAAACCAAATTACATAGTATCTCATTATGGTAAATTTGGGGTGGGGTGGGGAGTTACTCAAAGTAGTAGGTTAGGGTCAGGTGATAAAGAGCCTCCTATATCCTTTCAGGGTACTTAGATACGTTGGAGGGTTGGGACCGTTAACAGGTTTTGAACAAGGGGCTGCATAGTCAGGTTTGTTTCTTCCACGGTGTGAAAGCTGAATTTAGAGGATGAGACAAGTGTGTTTAGGCTGTTGAAGACAGATTGCAGGAGCTAGCCAATGAAGGCTTGAATCCAAGCAGAGGTAATAGGGTGGACCAGGCAGGATATAATAGAGCAGTGGTTCTCACCCTGTGGGCTTTGACCCCTTTGGAGGTCAAATGACTTTTCACAGGGGTCACCTTAGACCATTGGAAAACAAAGATTTTTACATTGCTATTCATACCAGTAGCAAAATTGCAGTTATAAAATAGCAAGGAAAATAATTTAGTGGTTGAGGGTCACCATAACATGAAGAACTATATTAAAGGTTGAGAACCACTGTATTAGAGATTATTTAAGAACCAGTGTTGACAGAACTTGGTAAAGAAATGAAGGCACTTAGGATGCCTGCCAGGCCTTTGGCATAGGTAGAAAGTGTGTCTGAGACTCTAGGTGTAGAATAGCAGGTTTGTAGTGTGTAGGAGAGGAAGGATTCAGTTTGGACCGCTTGAGTTTGAAGTCTGTCCAGCAGGCAGGTAGAGACATGAGATGGCAGTTCAGGAGCATATTTGGGGCCAGATATAAAGATCTGTGGTCTCATCACAGTGTTAATTAAAATGAAAGAAGATGAGATCAAAGAAGAGATTTGAAGAGAGGAAGGGCTCAATGGTGGATCCTAGGGACTGCTGTGTTCCAGAGCGACAGAGGGAGAAGAAAAATGTGAACTTGGAGGCTGCTTACTTACACAAACATGCTCATCAAGAAACAACATAATCTTGTTGCTGTGGAAATGAGTGGGTTTCTAGTTTTTGCTAGAAGAAATACAGATCCTTTTCTCAAGTGTTGGAGAGTGATGCTTTCCGGTGGGGGCAGAATGAGTTCTCATCTCATTACATCTTAACAAGCAAGTGTATTTTCCTATGATCTGTTGTGTAGTAATTTCCTCCAAAATTCCAACTTGCCGTCCCAGAGAGACTTTAAGATGTCGGATGTGGAAAGGGCGGTAAAACAGCAGATATTTGGACTGGATATTCGCGTGGGAGTGTAGCAACAGTGTGGTCTAAGGCAGCAGTTCTCTACGGGGGGGGGGGGCGCACACCCTGTGTTCATAGGGCCCCATATCAGATACCCTGCATATCTCTTGCACTGTAATTCATAACTTACAGTTATGAAGAAACAATGAAAGAATTTTATGGTTGGGGGTCACCACAACTGAGAAACTTTATTAAAGGGTGTCAGCATTAGAAACATTGAGAACCACAGCTTTAAGGGGAGGTGAAACACTTCAATCGTGCAGGAAGGCTCATTAAATTAAGACAGGAAGTAAACAATTCAAAATAGCTTCAGGAAGTCCCTGAAATTGACCCGGGGCACGCCACTAGAATATGTAAGCAGTGGTAGAGACTGCTGAGAGTCTCTCTCTTAGACAAGCCCAGCAGCCTGAAGAGAGCAGGGACCGTGTTGAAGTGCTGCAGGGTGTCCATGGTACTCCGAGTTCCCAGCTTTTTGGGCTGTCACCCATGCTGTGTTGTCTTTGGTGGTGCAGCTGTCTTTGAGTTATTTCTGCTCTTGTAAGTCCTTATCCGTGTTGCAGTTAAGTAACCCCAACAAAATTCACAGGTTCACCCAGCTGGACTTTGGTGGTGCTCATACTTTGATCTGTCGTCTGTTCTCTGCTTCTTGCGATTAGACACTTGCTCATGTTTACCGAGGAAACACAGCATAATCCTGTGCAGTTTTTGAGAAGGTGCAGAAACAGGACCAGTGAGGTAACAGTGCTTGCTGCTAAGCCTGACTGCCTGAGTTCAGTCCCTGGAACCACATAGAGGAAGGAGAAAACTTTTAGAAGGCTTTCCTCTGACCTCTACACATAGCTTCCTTTCCCCCCAAATTAAATAGTAAATAAATCCCAAACCCCAGACAAGTGATGTTTCTCATATTGTTTTTATTTTTCTTGTAATTTTTGCATTAAAGAAACTTGGCTCCTCTTTTTGTTTAATTGGAATGCAAGTTGATATGTACTATATATATATATATAATATACAATAAGAATTGTTTATCTTATTTTCAAGTTTGATAAAGATTTACAGGTATCATGCATAGGCTTCCTTTTTCCATTTGGGTAGCTTTTTTTCTTACTTGAGCCTTTACACTGCTGCCACCATTCATTTTTTTTCTCAATTAAATATTTAAAAATTGCCTGGCGGTGGTGGCGCACGCCTTTAATCCCAGCACTTGGGAGGCAGAGGCAGGCGGATCTCTGTGAGTTCGAGGCCAGGCTGGACCGACAGCCTCCAAAACAATACAGAGAAACCCTGTCTCGTAAAACCAAAAAATTAAAATTAAAATTAAAAATTTATGTCCGTGGGTGCTTTGCCTGTGTGTATGCCTAGGGCCCAGGGAGGCAGAAGAGGGGGCAGATGTTCTGGGACTGGAATTACAGACAAAGCCACCATGTGAGGGCTGGGAATTGGACCCTGCCCTCTGGTTTTTAACTGCTAAGCTCCCCCCAGCCGCTGCTACTGCCGTTCTTACACTCCAGTTTAGCTCTAATCTTGTCTCTGCTCAGCTTTAGAAGTTCCTCAGCACGTGTTCATCGTCTTGGTAGGATCCACGCTTCCTGTTAGCCTCTGGTAATTGACTCCAGGTGACTTTTTGAATTGTATCTTCCATTTTCTCCCTCCTCAGAGTCCATACGGTAACTGTCTCGCGACTCGACTGTGCGTCCCTGACACTGCCTGTGCGTGGGGTTTGCACAAGACGCCCCTCCCCACTTCCAGCTTGACCAAATCCTTTTCATCTCTAGCGTTCTAGATTAGTCCCTTCCCGGGCAGGACTAATCAATTCTGTCCTGGGTATTATGCAGCAATTTGTGCATATAGCTGTTAATTGTTTATAAGTGACTGGCAGTTTTCTTTCCAAAGGTAAGCCTTTTGAAAATTAATACGGTGGCTTCTCATTGGTTCATTTTATAAATACTACATTTCTACAAAGAGTAGACAGAGCAGGTGGCTTGAGTTCACGGCCTACTCCAGGACAGCCAGGCCTATACAGAAAAACCCTGTCTCAAAATAAATAAACAAATAAATATAAAATAAAATAAAAATATTATTGCTCTCAGTTTGTGTAGGGAAATTGGCAGTCCCTACTTCAAGGATTGGTTTATAGTAATTGGAATCTTTAGACCAGGGTGTGAAAGTGACAAACCTTTTGATATTAGACAAAATCACGCAGTTTTTAATATAATGAGATGCCAAATTGTTGTAAAATGCTGTTTTTAAGACTGCGGCTTTTGTTGTTTTTGCTTTATGCTTTAGTCAAAGAAGAAAGGACTGAGTGCAGAAGAAAAGAGAACCCGTATGATGGAGATATTTTTTGAGACAGTAAGTTACCTCCCTATTGTTCTTAGTATTTTGTGTAAGTCCACATTATTTTCCCAGGATGCTGTGTATCCTTCTATGAGGTAATTAGATGTTAATGGTTCTTGAGGGGCAGATAAAATTCTCCAATGTTTTTGCTCCTCTGAGCTGTGGAATAGAAGAGCCTTATCCCCTAGCTCATCGTCTTTTATCCACACTGTCCTGTAGACTGATACAGGAATTCTCTTTCTGAGTCTTATCTTTGATTATGACCTCTTTCTGAAATAATTGTGTAGTTTGCTGGGTGCTGACCATCCCCAGGCATTTACTGTAGGTTTTCTGATTTCACCAGTGCACGGTCCTGGGGGTAAGCTTTGCTTTATAGCTGAGGACTCCAGAGACAGCGTCTGAACGGCCTACAGGGGCTCAGAAAACAAGAGTGGACATTATCCGGTTTAATCCAAGGAGGGTCTCCTGGTTTCAAAGGGAGCACAGAGACCCTTCTGCTTTGTGTTTACAGCCTGTGTATGGCATTGTGATGGTACCCAAGACTCAACTTATCCCAAAGGTGTGTGCCGGCCACTAAAGAAATAAAGTTTCAGCTTCACTAAGTGGTAGTCAGAGTTCAAAACCAGGCTCTAGGCCCTACTTTCTTTACCATGCTCCTGTACGTGGGTCTTTGTTTTGTAAAGAAACAAGTCCGAACAGGCTTTTCGCTCCACAAGAAATTCTTCATAGACCTTTATCTCACTGGCTATTTTCATTCTGTGCAGATGGGGGAAAATGGTAAAATATTATGTTGGTAAAATTCCTTTTCATCTTGATAATGCAGATTTTCAATACAGTTAAAATAGTCGGAGGACTTTAAAAAGTCTAGGCACATTTTTTTTTGTTTTTTTGTTTTTTTTCTAGACAGTGTTTCTCTGTGGCTTTGGAGGCTGTCTTAGAACTAGCTCTGTAGACCAGGCTGGTCTCGAACTCACAGAGATCCTCATGCCTCTGCCTCCTGACTGCTGGGATTAAAGGCGTGTGCCGCCAACACCTGGCTACATCCATATGTTTTTAAAACCAGTGCAAGACTGTCACTGAGAAGATGAAGTTGTATCAGTTTTTTTTCTGTGCCCTTGGGGCAAGAACAGACTTAATTTCTTCCAGACACTGGAGACCCAAAGAAAGTAGTCAGTAGATTGACTTTATCCTTTTTGTGTTGGTCTTCTCAAATACAAAAGCTGGCCATTTCTGGGCTAAAAATGTTCAACTTCAATGGCACTAAAGACTAGCAGCTTAAAGATGGTCAATGACAAGTTTTTTCTGCCGAGATAAATAATCAGGCGTGTCAGTTGGTTTCACTGAGATCGTGTGTTCCCATTCTACCTTTACGTGATGATGCTGTATGTTGCTGCATACTTACTTCATGTCAGCTGTTGGGATGGAATTGAAAATATTAACAGTGAACTTTGGCTACAATGGAAAACTTTGCATCTGTTTTCTCCTGAATGAGACGCCGTATTTCTGGGATCTAGACTGATGCCAAATGTTGGTAAATATTAGACATCAACCCTCTTCAGTAATTCCAACCAAATCAATATTATGGTCTAAGCTTGAAAACCATGGATTCTGGAATTCAGTTTCTGAATATGGACTCTAATTCCATTGTTGATAAGTAAAATTCCAGTAAGGTCAAACATGGCTACTAGCCATCAGTTATAGAATTTGACTTTAGATATGGATAGTGGCCCTTCTCAAAGATGGTGTCATGGCCAAATGCTCACTATGTGGTATTAAGGAGAAAATGCAAAATCTGAAAGAATATTGCTGTATGGTTATACATGTTAATGGTAGGGTTGTGTTTTATAATCTGTTTTCCCAGTTACCCCTGGGGAATGTGTTATCACCTTCTGAATTAATCAGAAAGCTTACCAGCTAAGCACTGTGTACCACAGGATCACGAATGCTAGCTAAGTGCCGTATGCCATGCTGCCTCTAGACACAAGTGCTGGCAAGTGTTGTGTGCCAAACTGATTTGATTATTATTTTTTTAAAGATTATTTATTTATAGCGTGTACAGTGTTCTACCTGCTGTTGTCCTTGCAGGCCAGAGGAGGGCACCAGATCTCATCATAGGTATTTGTGAGCCACCATGTGGTTGCTGGGAATCGAACTCGGGTCCTCTGGAAGAGCAGTCAGTGTTCTTAACCTCTGGGCCATCTCTCCAGCCCCCAAACTGCTTTTAATCATGAGTGATTCACCAACAATGTTTTAGAAATCTTTTCAAAACATTTACAGTAGCTCATGAAGAGACCACAAATGCATTTGTCAGCTCACTCCTTTATCCATTCATCAGTTCTTTTTGTTTTGTTCCAGGCCTCTTTTTTATATTTTATTTTTACTTTTGGAAGCTAGGGTTTTTTTTTATGTTTATTTAGGTTTTTATTATGTGTACAGTATTCTACCTTTATGTTTGCCTTCAACCACAAGAGGGCACCGGATCTCATTACAGATGGTTGTGAGCCACCATGTGGTTGCTGGGAACTGAACTCAGGACCTCTGGAAGAGCAGCCAGTGCTCTTAACCTCTGAGCCATCTCTCTGGCCCCCCAGACCTCTTTGTAAAGTATATATTTTTAAAAATACTTTCTTTTAGGCAGTATCTGTTTCCTCAGTCCTGTAAAATGTCTGGATAAGCAGAGGTTTTGGACTTAGTTCCATCCAGGTGAACTTGCTTTTTCAGCTAATTTAGAAAACAGTGGATCTCCATCTCATCCACACAGTTGCAGTGTTTCCCTCTGATTACAGAATGCGTTAGTCTTCCCAAACAATATCACCTTCAACGTTATAGTGCTTTCCAGCGCTTAAGAAAGGAGCAGTCAGCAGTGTCCCCTGACCGCCAGATGACTCTGTGTTTTCCCCACAGTGTTTTGTTCTGCATGTCTTAAGTGAACCTATGTGTGCACAGGTGATTGAGACACCGTGAGCTGGATGTTGTCTGTCCTGTAGAGTTAACTTTTCATGACCTTAAATGAAAGTGAACTTGGCAGTTGTCTGTGACTTGTAGCTACAGCTGCTAAATCTGTGGAGCATGCGACATACAAAGTAAAGCACTTCTCCCTCTGTCTTTTTCCTTTGGTTCCTTTCCCTCCCTCATTTCCTCTCCCTTCTCTCTCTCCCTACTTACTTCTCTCCCTCCCTCCCTCCCTTCCTTTTTTTTTTTTTTTTTTTTTTTTTGTTGTTGTTGTTTTGTTTTTCAAGACAGGGTTTCTCTGTGACTTTGGAGGCTGTCCTGGAACTAGCTCTTGTAGACCAGGCTGGCCTCGAACTCACAGAGGTCCGCCTGCCTCTGCCTCCCAAGTGCTGGGATTAAAGGCATGCGCCACCAACGCCCGGCCCCCTTCATTCCTTTTAAAGGTGTGACCTTTTTATATTGCCCAGGCTGCCCTCACAATTCTGGTCCAAAGCAGTAGTCCCATCACTGAGCCTGTTTTTATTCTTCCTTCTTTCTTTCCTTCCTTCCTTCCTTCCTTCCTTCCTTCCTTCCTTCCTTTTTTCCTCCCTCCCTCCCTCCCTCCCTCCCTCCCTCTCTATCTGTCCCTTCAGCTTTATAATTCTGTTGGCAGGTTTTTGTTTTTTTAACATACGAATCCCCAATTCCCCCCCCCCCCTTCCCCTTCCCATATTTGCTCCTCAGAGTGAATCATGGGGAATCAACAGGTCTGTCAATCACCATGCCAAGGCAGGACCAAGGCCCTCCCCTGCTGTGTCTAGGCTGAGCAAGGTATCTCTCCTTATGAAATGGGCTCCAAAAAGCCAGTTCATGAACTAGGGAAAGATCTTGGTTCCACTGCCAGTGGCCCCACAAACTGCCCAAGCCATCCATTGTCACCTGCATTCAGGGACCTTAGTTTGGTCCTGTGCAGGTTCCCCTGCTGTCAGTCTGCAGTCAGTGAGCTCCCACTAACTCAGGTCAGCTGTTTCTGTGGGTTCCCCAGCATGGTCTTGACCCCTTTGCTCATACTATTGCTTTTCCCTTTCTTTGACTGGATTCTGGGAGCTCTGCCCAGTGGTTATTTGTGGATCTCTGCATCTGCTTCCATCAGTTACTGGATGAAGGTTCTGTGATGATAATTGTGGTAGTTGTCAATCTGATTAGAGGGGGAGGCCAGTTGATACACCCTCTCCACTATTGCTTAGAGTTGTATCTGGAGTCATCCTTGTGTATTCCTGGGAATTTCCCTAGTGTCAGATTTCTCACTAATCCATAATCCCTCTATCAAAATACTTCTTTCCTTGCTCTCTTTCTCTGTCCTTCCCCCAACTTGACCTTCCCATTCCCCTCATGTTCTCCTCCCCACTCCCCTTCCACCCTACACCCTTCCTCCCGCACTCCCAATTTACTCAGAAGATCTTGTATGTTTTCCCTCCCCAGGGAAACAGTGTATGTCTCTCTTAGGGTCCTCTTTTTTACCTTGCTTCTCTGGGGTTGTGGACTGTAGGCTGGTTATCCTTTGCTTTATGTCTGATATCCACTTATAAGTGAGTACATTTTATATTTGTCTTTCTGGGTCTGGGTTACCTCACTCAGGATGGTTCTTTTCTAGTTCCATCCATTTACCTGCAGATTTCATGAGGTCATTGTTTTTTACTGCTGAGTAGTAGTACTCCATTGTATAAATGTACCACCACATTGTCTTTATCCATTCGTTGGTTGAGGGGCATCTAAGTTGTTTCCAGGTTCTAGCTATTATAAATAATGCTGCTATCAATACAGGTGATCCAATGCCCTTGTAGTATGAGTGTGCATCCTTTGGGTATATGCCCCAAAGTGGTGTTGCTGGGTCTTGAGATAGGTTGATTCCCAATTTTCTGAGAAACTGCCATACTGATTTCTGAAACAGCTGTACCAGTTGGCACTCTGACAAGCAATGGAGGAGTGTTCCCCTTTCTCCACATCCTCTCCAGCATAAACTGTAATCAGTGTTTTTCATCTTAGCTTTTCTGACAGGTATAAGATGTTATCTCAGAGTTGTT